GTTTAGGGTTTAGGGGTTTATTTATGGCTGACTCGAAATTTGTTAAAGGGTTAACGGCTTTCGGGTCGGCTTCAAGAGATTCTGTTGTTGGATGTCGTGCCTGCCGTGCTTAGGATTTGCCTCCAGGTTCATTCCCTGAACCCCCATGCGCTAAAACTCTAAAACCCTATTTCAAGCCCAAATCCTCATACTCTCAAAACGAACTAAACCCTAAACCCTAAACCCCTAAACCCCTCACCCTAAACCCCCTTCAACCCATTTTGCGAATTTGGGGTGGTTCGTGCTGGCTTAACACGGTTTAGGGTTTTGGGGCTTATGGTGTAGGGTTTAGGGCTTAGGGTTTAGGGTTTAGGGTTTAACGGCTTCAGGCTTTGAAGATATGGCCACCTCGCTGCACAGAAGCGATGAAATAGGGGCATGAAGAATTAGCAAAGGAATCAGACGGCAAATCCTTAAAGTTCTACGATTTGGGGTTTAGGGTTTAAAGCAATTCAAGTTACCATGGAAGGGAGGCCATATTATTTGCTACAGGTCCCAATTGCGGTTCACTCTAAGTGCTGACACTTCAGCTGAGAAGCACCCAGCAGTCGCGAGAGAAGTCGCACAACGTCGCAGGAGTTGCCTGATCAGACCCATGGCCGAAACCCGAAACCCTAAACCCAAAACCGACCCTATACCCTAAACCGACCCTGAACCCTAAACCGATCCTAAACCGACCCTAAACCCTGAGCTTTAAAACAAGTTGTCGGAAAAAGGAGGTCTAAGGGATAAGGCTATGGGCAAAGTCCAGAGGCTGACAGTTTAGGAGTTTAGGGCTTAGGGGTTTTGGGGTTTGGGGTTTAGAACAATGTAGGGGTTTGGGGTTTAGGGGCTTAGGGTTTACGGCTTCGGGTTTTAGGTTGTAGGGTGTGGGGCCCTAAACCCTAAACGCTAAACCCTAAGCCCCTAAACCCTATATAAACCTCTAAACCCTAAACTTTGGGGTTGTGAAGGTCCCGGTTGCAGCTCAAGCCAGCTATCCAAGCCAGGGCATGCCGGCCATGCCCCCACCCCTCAATCCATAATCCAGGGTCCTCAATACTATTTTGGGGGCTCCTTGTTACAATGATCGTATAGTACGCCGCAAAACCCTAGTCGAATTATCAAGGCCCCGATATCACTCCTTGTCTGAATGCTACGCTCCAAAACCACTCAGTGAGCTTCAGACATTCAGGGCTTTGGGTTTGGGATTGCAAATGTTGATGTTTCTTCGGTTTCAGGGTCTGGGATTTGGGGTGTTAGGGCTCGCTCCGGGGTTACAGGGTTTGGGGCTATGGAGCTTGATTTCCTAAGGTGCGGTCTTCTGGCTTGTGGAGGCAGGGTGTGGGGTCTCGGGTGTAGGGTCTCCGGGTTTGGGATTCAGGGCTTCGAATTTGGGGGGAGGGGAACCCTGAACTGAACCTCTGAACCCTAAACACTATAAACACCAACCCTAAACCCTAAACCCTATAAGCACCGAACCCTTAACCTCCAAACCCCCAAACCCTAAACCCTGAACCCTAAACCCTAAACCATAAACCCCTAAACCCTAAACCCAAGCCGCAACCCCGCAGCCTTGACCTCGAAACCTCAGGCATTAACGGCGCTGCGGAACCCCGGCAAGACGCCGCAAAAATTGGACAAAACCCCTGAGCCCGAAACAAGACGCTCAAACCTGTAAGCCGAAAGACCCTAAAACCCAAAACCCCAATCCCTACACCCAGAACCCAAAACCCATAGACTCCACAGAGCCCCTGCGCAACCCTCGAGGACCCCAATGAGGCAGCCGCCTTTCGTATCAAAGACTTTGGTGCAAAGCGAAGCATCTTTCTCTACCTCCGCTGTTGAGACGTAGGCTTGCGTTTGGGATTTCATGGTTTAGGATTTAAGGTTCGGCATTTTGGATTTTGGGGATTCGGCTTTCGGATTTGGAGCTTCGGGGCGTAGGTTAAGGATCTTGGCTTGGGAACACCAGATGAATGGGCAGTTCTTTAAATGAGGGCCCCTTCTTAGGCCCCAAAATAGTACGGCACCCTGACAAGAAGGACCCTGAAAGGGACCCTGATTTAGCGAACTACCCGAATACACAACATAGACTGAGGATTGGGGATTTCGGTAAGAGCTCCCAGTCGAGTTGAGGGTTTAGGGTTTAGCGATTCTTAGACCCAATTGAATCATCAATCCTAAACTAACCCTCCTGCAAAGTTTGGTCCTAAACTGCGTGGAATCCCGAAAATCTCTCCATACACTCCCATGTCTCTAAACGCCTAAATCCCTGAATCCCAAACTCCCAAATCTGTGCAGTGTTCAGGGCTGAAGGTCTCCACGTGTTTAGCCCCAAGCCCCTGAACCCTAAACCCCTAAACCTTTGAACCCTAAACCCCTGAACCCTTGAACCCCAAACCCGATGCCCCCGGGGTGTCAGAGGCCCCGACTGCTTCCGCCAAGAGCTCGATCCCCGGGCCTACTAGGTGGTCGTCCTCTGCGTACCTGGCAGTCTTTTGGCTGTGCTTTGTGGCGAGGGTTGAGGGTTCTTTTTGGGGGGTTTAGGGTTTTGGGGTCTAGGGTTTCGGGTTTAGGGTTTGGGGTTTAGAGGTTTAGGGTTTTGGGTTTGGGGATGTGCGCCATTTTGGGTTTCAATATGGTTTCTTAGACGGGTGCTACACGGTTAAACGTATGGGCATGTTAACAGGATTGTTGTCGGGCTGCAATGCGATTTGCTTTCCATGGGGCACCCTAAACCCTAAACCCTAAAAACTAAACCCTAAACCCTAAAAACTAAACCCTAAACCCTAAACCCTAAACCCTAAACCCTAAAACCTTAAACCCTAAACTCTAAACCT